AGGATTGCTTGAGCCCAGGAGTTTGAGGTTGCTGTGAGCTAGGCTGACGCCACGGCACTTACTCTAGCCCGGGTAACAAAGCGAGACTCTGTCTCAAAACAAACAAACAAACAAACAAAAAAACTATATACTGAAAAATGATCAAGATGATAAATTTAATATTATGTGTATTTTGCCACAATTGAAACACAAAAACACAGGCTTCAAAGTTGGTAAGATCTGGATATAAATCCTGACTTGCCTCGCCCACTTTTTAATTTTGTGATTCCAGTTGAGTTATTTATTGAATTACTGATGCTCAGATTTCTTATCTGTGAAATGGGGATAATAATACCACCTTCCTCACAGGGCTATGAGGATATGAATGCAGGCATGTATGATATTTGGCCCATAGCAAGCACTCCGTAAATGTTGATTTTGGGTCACAGCAGCAGGCATGGAGAATCTAGCCAATGGCAATTACACGTAATTATTTCTAGATCTGATAATGTATTGTGATTCTGTTTTTAAAAGGAATCTTCATCTTTTAGAGATATTTACTGATATATTTCTAGATGAAATAAAATGATAAATGGGATTTCCTTCAAGATAATCAGGGTAGGGGGAACAAGGGTCACATAAGAGCACCGATGTCCTAAGATTGGCTATGGGCTGACAACTGTCAATGGTGTGGATAATAGGTATTCTCTTTACTTTCATATATGCTTAAAAATTCTCATACAATTTCCATAAATAGATTTCCATAATAGAGTTAAACAAAAACAAAAAAAAATCATTGATCCCAATCTTTGATGATGGCTCTCAGATACTTTTTCTTACTATTGAATGGTCATGGATTTGGTACAGCTGACACTAGAGGTCCTGTCTAGCCATAGATTTTCTTCAGGTGGAATGACTGAACAGCACAGTAATTTTTCTAGGGAAACCTCGTTGTATAAAAAGATCATCACAATTAACAGGTTACTACAAAATTAGGTTGCATGTGAGAGCATGATAACAATATCAATGCTCT